CAAACTTTCAAATATTTTTTTTATCATCGTAGAATAGTAATATTCAAATAAATCCTCACTTTCCCTTGCATTTCAAAAGCGGGATTCCGTTTTTTCTTCCTCGGGGAAAATCCAATTAAATACACTTTTCTCTCTTATTGGTCCTTTTGAACTGATATTTATCCGCAATGCCATTCTTTTCAAGTTTCAAGTTTCAAAATGCACATTTATGCAGAGGATGGCAAAGAAATTCCAACCCTGTCGTGACCTAATATGGAGATGTGTGTGGAATATATAGGGACCACAAAGTTTGAGGGGATAGAGAAAAACCATAACTTGGTTTGTAATCAAGAATATATATATATATATATATATATTAAAAAAAAAAGAGGCTCAAAAGTTATAACTGGCCATGTGGGTTCATCTTCATGCCTTGACCCAAGGCCGCAATAAATATCATTGGAACTGTTCCCATCCGCTGCTCTTAATTCAACAACCTGCCTTTTTAAAAGGCCTTGCAGCTTTTCCATTAAAAATAATCACTAATCACTCATTATATTAATTTTGCATTACCAACTTGTCTGTGACCATTCAATGAGGGACTTTCCCCTTGGCATTTTCGATGCATTTATTCCTAACAAGGTTTAGCCCCGAAAGCACTGGTCATGTCCTTATTGGCTTATGACTGCTACTATTGCAATTTTATAAAACACTCATATTCCCTACATTTTTAGATTGTACTTTATCCATATCACAATATAATCTCTCTCTTTTTTTTTTAATTTTACTTTGTTTAAAATAAAATATAGTTATATCCTTATTTTATTGAGTATAATTAATAAGAATATTTTAAATAAATTAAATATTATATTTATTACATTCAAGAAGACAGTTTGAAATATGTGAATTTTTTTAAAAAATTAAGATTTTGAAAACTTTTTTTGAGAAATGTAATTTTATTCTCTTTTAATTCCAATCATTAAATTTGTTTAATGGAAGGCAAGTGAGGATATTTAAATAAAAGGATATTAATTGGGTTCAGAAATCCGTAAAATGCTTTATATAGTTATATCGAAGTAGATGACTTTCTTAAAAAATGCTTTAAATTTAAAACGAAAGGACTGAATGAGTATTGCATACTGAAATATTGACTGATCAACAATTTATAACTCTAACACTAAATTATTAAAAAAAAAAAATCTCCCAAATGAATTTCGTTTGTTAAATATCCTCGTCTGGACCATTGTTTTTGAATTCATGGGGTTGGTGTACACAGTAACAGGTGTCTACTGTCATATGTGTCCATGACTCTGAAGGCCTCAATAATGAGGTCCAAGTTGGTTCGTCCATATAAAAGGACCTGGCCCAATACTAGCATTGGCCTAGTTTGCCTTTCCAGGCATTCAAAGGCACCTCAACTCTCCATCAAAAAAAAAAAAAAGGGTGAATTCCTTGCTGCTCCATCCTGTACCTCTTCTCAATTTTACCTATTCTACATTCTACAATATAAAATGAATAAACCAGATTTTAAATTAAAAATATATACAAAAGAATCCCATGCCTGTTGAACATGCAATTCGGACCATCGCCATGTCTTAGTTCTCACATCACTTTCCCTTTCTTTTCTTTTTTTTTTTTGGGTAAAGATATCACTTTCGAGATCCATCCAATTTTTTGAGCGTTCCATTTTTCCAGGATGAAGGTACACCGTACAGTTTGCAAGCTTGACTGGGTGACGAGGATTTACATCACATGAGTTATTAGCCGAATAAATAAATAAATAAAAAGACTAAAAAGAGACCTGCAAGTTGCAAAAATTGAATCGAATCTAATTTCTAATATTTTAGAAAGCAATGCCATAGATTGAACACTTTGGCCGCAACCAATCAGACAATGAATAATTGTGCGTGACGGCCATAGATATGCTCCTCAAAATTCCGCAGTTGCCCTGTGTCCATAAAACGACGTAAAAAGCGGACAAAACGCACTGAAATCCCCTGGTCAGTGCTCAAATCCAGAGCCAATTTCGAAGTGAGGGGTGTGAAGGGCCCCACCAAGGGGTATCTTCACTTTGAACTTGCTGCAATTATTATCGCACAGCACTAACCACTTAACTGTTCCCGTGATTTTCCCATTCCCATAAAGCGCAAACCCAATACAAACTCTCATATTCTTACCTCGCTTTGGCTGACCCATTTTTTTAACTCTCTCTTTTGTTCCTCTGTTTCTGACCCTTTCGTCCTTGTCCTCCTTCCTTATCCTCTTTCCCCTTTCACTAATCCCTCCGTTTTGGTGCTCCCTTGAAGATGCTTTGCTCCTCTTCCGTATGCCGGTCTCAATTTCTTCTTCTTCTGCTCAATGTCGCTTCAGACACTGACGTCTACTGATTTTCTCCATGTGAAGGGTACGTATATGCTCTCCCCTCAACCTTCTCACTCTCTGATGGTTTTGAATCTTAGGGTTTGTGTCGTGACGCCTACTGAGTGTAGATCAACGGTTTATGAACTTTTCTTCTGTTTTCTCAGTTCCTTTACTGCCAAGACATTCGGGGCTAGTATTATCGTCGCCCTTTCGAAATTGCGATAATTTGTCCTCTATACTTTGTCTATGATTTTCATATTGTCATTTATATTTCACAAGCACAGTCCATATCTACCGAATTCTAGTGATGCGTGCACCTTTTTGTCGAATTGCGTAGTGGATGCGTTTTCACTTGCTAATTCGTGTGCACGTGTTTAATTACATTCAGGTTACTGAGTTTCTGCTATTAATTGCATTGGATTTGGCATTTCAATGGGGGGTGAAACGACGAACGGGTCATGGTTCAGCGTATTTTGGCCTGTCGCTCGCAAGACTGCTCTTGACAACAAGGCGTCAATCGGAATTTTGGCATTAGAAGTTGCCAGCTTGATGCTAAAAGTGGTCAATTTATGGCGCTCTCTGAGTGATATGGAGGTAACGGGTCTGAAAGAAGAGATCATAAATTCAGCGGGGCTTAAGATTCTGGTGTCTGATAACGATGATTTCTTAATGGAACTTGCATTGAATGAGATACTTGATAATTTTGAATATCTCACAAGATCTGTGGCCAGGTTGGGTAAAAGGTGTGCTGATCCGGTATACCATCGTTTTGAACTTTTTGTTGATAACCCAGCTCAGTATTTTTTTCAATGGTCTGGATGGGAATATAAATCTAAAAAGATGGAAAAGAAGGTGAAGAAAATGGAAAGATTTGCTGCTGCCATGACACAATTGTCCCAAGAGCTCGAGGTACTTGCTGAGCTCGAACAAACATTCAGGAGAATGCAGGCAAATCCTGAGCAGAGCCGAGTGAAATTGCTCGAGTTCCAGAAAAAGGTCACATGGCAGCGCCAAGAAGTGAAAAATCTTAGACACATGTCTCCTTGGAATAGAAGTTACGATTATATTGTCCGATTGCTGGCAAAATCACTCTTAACAATACTTGAGAGGATCATACATGTTTACGGAAATAGTCATCTGTCTGCTCAGCAACAGAATGATTGCCTGGCTATGGATGCTAGCCATCTCCCGCGGAGCCATTCCTTTTCTGTTCCGGTGCATTCTTCTTTTCACCCATCATACAATCAGTTTAATGGATTTCATTCAGAACCACTTGGGAGCAGGCCAGTGTCAAACTCAGACTCTGTAACTGACAAGAGCAAAAGAGCAAACACACTTCAACAAGCTCTTAATGCACCTGCTTTACGTGGAAAGCATCTTCGTTCAGCAAGCAAACAATTAGCTCATATTGGTCCCTTCAAAGGATGCATGTGGGTAGGCAATGAATCTCCTGTTGTACAGAGCTGCATGCCAGCAACCGGAGGTTCTATGAGGTTGAATAACTGCCATATGAAAAGTGTTGATAAAATGAACATTGTGGATAAATTATCTCTCTCTTGTAGGAATAGAATATATTCTAAATTATCCTTCAAAGGTCGATTAAAGCCATCTCCATTTACCCTTGGCGATTCTGCTTTGGCTCTTCATTATGCAAATGTTATCATATTAATAGAGAGAATGGTATCATCGCCTCACTTGGTTGACCTTGAAACTAGAGACGATCTGTATAATATGTTACCAGCAGCCATGAGAAGTGCTCTGAGAGCTAAGCTTAAGTGGTGCACCAAAAGTAAGGATTCTTCTATCTATGATGCTAATCTTGCAGAAGGATGGATTCAGGCACTCACGCAAATACTAGAATGGTTGGCCCCACTCGCACATAACATGATAAAATGGCACTCCGAGAGGAATTTTGAGAAGGAGTACACAACTTCAAAAGCAAATATTTTACTTGTCCAAACTCTTTACTTTGCAAACCAACCAAAAACTGAAGCTGCAATGATAGAGCTTCTTGTTGGCTTGAATTATGTATGCAGGATTGATAGAGAAATTGGCAGAAGAGATATGGCTGAGTTCGCTGGCGCTAGATCTTGTAATGGTGTATGTTTGGGAAAGAATGATATCTGTAATGAATATCCTTAATGTTGGAGACAGTAGTCCTCGTGGCTCACAGGAAAGAGTGATCGGCCTTGTATAGCTCTCATTTGCAAATGGGAGGGTTTACCGTATAGCACTTTCAGGGTCCCGACATGTTGAAGCTCAGGTTACGTTTTGTTGTGTCGTTTAAGACAGGGTATGTACATGCATTCAGATACAATCTTAATTCTTACATGATTCCAAACGAAAGAGAGCTTCTTCGGTATCATTCTAAAGCATTCGATCCCCTTCTTTGTTCTTTTAGTTCTGCCAACTGTAAAGCAAACCATCAGACACGACCTTCTATATTCTATTAATCTCGTCCTTTATTACCATCGTCTTTTCTCCTTCACTCTGTCCACCCTCTCTTTTTGCCCCCTTTTTCTATTATATTAAGGGTTCCCCCCCTCTTTCTTTGGATTATGATCCGTTCAACTGCAAATAAAAGCAAGTATTTTATTTTTAAAGTAAGAATATGTTATGGGGTAGAAAAAGCGTTACTCCTTATGAAATTTGTTCAGTGATTACATGCTGCTGCAGTTCTGGACCACATCTCATTGAAGTTCAAAGCAGTCTAATATATACAAATACTGACAAACTTCTAAATGCAGCTTAGAAATTAAAACAATGCACTTCACGTTTCAGACTTTAAGATGCAACGAAGGAATTGGAGGTTTTGTAGAATTTGAGTAGGCACAAAGCGAAAAACCGGAACAGGCGATTAGTTTTATACAGTAGCATGTCCTTTGAAAGGGGATGGCTTGACTCGGAGGGGAAGAGCCTTCCTTAGCGTGATTCCCATTTTCTCAGTCATGTCCATGTCCTGAGCCTCAATCCCATCTGCTAGAACCCAATCAAAAGCATGCAAGAGTGAGCCCAGAGCCAGGGGAAGCACACGAGACGCAAGCGGTACAGCAGGGCACATCCTTCGTCCCGAGCCAAACGGTATGAACTCGAACTGGTGCCCCTTGTAATCCCTCTTGCTTCCCTCCATGAACCTCTCTGGCTTGAAAGTTAACGGGTCTTCCCAAGAATTCGGGTCCCGGCCGATTGCCCAAACGTTCACAAGAACTTGGGTCTCCTTTGGGATGTAATAACCTTGCATCTTGCAAGAGTCCATGGCCATGTGAGGCACCAAGAAAGGAAGAGGTGGGTGAAGTCTCAGTGTCTCCTTGATCACTGCTTTTAGGTAATGAAGGTCCTCCATGTCCTTTTCTTCCAGCTTCTTGTTTGGCTCTATTTTGCTCCTTAGCTCAGCCTGCACTTTGTGCAGCGTTTTCGGACTGTGCAACAGCTCTGCCATCGCCCACTCCAGCGTGCTTGTTGTGGTGTCTGTCCCTGCAGCAAACATTTCCTACACATCCAAGTTCCGTTGTATAGTGTCATGAATTGGTAATAGTCGCAGTAATTACTGATCAACTCGGAAGAAAAATAGCGAGAAACTTACGAAGACAATGACATTAATTGTCCTCGGAGAAAAACTATAGGTGCCGTTGACTCCTCCTTCACGAAACTCCAGCAAGACATCTAAGAAGTCTTTCCTCTTGTCTTGATCTGCGCATCGGCAATCATCTCTGCGGCTCTCCATCCTTTCTTTGATGAAGCAGCCTGCGATCTCGAAGGCTCGCTTTATGTGAGACTGCGACTTCCTCTTTATTCCTTGAGGATCAAGCCACCTCAAAAATGGCAAGAAATCTGCAGCATTTGGCTTCCCAGCCAATTCCATCACCTTCCCCGCGTGGTAAAAGAATTTTTGTCCCCTCATCGATTCTGGTTCCAGCAAGTCCTTCGAGAATATAAGGTTCCCAATGAGATTAAAAGCCATTAAGAAAAAAAACCTCCCAATATCAATAGAGGCACCACCACCGCCAGCTTCTTCAATGAAGTGAACCATACGGTCTATGCACTTCCTGCGAACCCCTTGCATGGCGTCTAACCGGCTCATGACGAAGAACTCGGTGGTGCTCAGGCGCCTCAGCATCTTCCAGTGGTGGCCGTATTGAGACGTGATGAGAGAACCCTCGTGGCCGTAATCATCCTTCATAGCCTCGTATATCTTCCTGCCAGCCAGAACAACGTCGTGGTTCTTGAACATGTCGCGAGCCACTTCGCTGGAGGATATGACCACGGTGCACATGGAGCCTAACCAAAGGGTCATGATCGGGCCGTATTTACGAGCCAGTTGGGCGAAGGACTCGTGGGGTGACCAACCCAGTTGGAAAATGTTGCCAACCACAGGCCAACACGGTGGTCCGGGTGGAAGCTGGAGCTGAAGCTGAAACTCCACGCTAGTTTCCACCACCTTACGCTGCTTTCGTTTCAAAGCCGAAGTACCAAACCAAACCAACGCAGCTAGGATCAGACCCACAATCACGCCCTCCATGATGATGCTTTATATTTTAGCCGTAAATTTTTTTTACTAACTCAGTTTGTTCAAGCAGGTGCTTCTTATCTTATATAGCTGCTTCGGCCAGCTAAAACGTACAAACTGATTCGGGCTTTGGGGCTAACGTATAAATGGATTCTAGCGTACAAAATAATGCATGTTTTGTTCAGGTTCTGTGTTGTCATTTTGTCCGTTGAGTATCTCTTTTTCCTACAGAAGTGTGATGCCTTTTCATTTTGGAAGCAGTTGGGTCAAATCATAGATGAAGATACGAGCGAAGCTTTGAGCAATCTATCAAAACTCTCAACCTCGTTGATTGGCTTATTTTCTGTCTTTAGTGATTTGCTTCTTCAAAAATGTCGAGACTATATAAACTCGCTCATAATTTTATTAGATCGAGGTATTGTAAGGAGGGGGATAGTCAATACACGCTCTGATTGCAATAATCATGCTGCTTGCTGCTTACTATGAAACACTTACATATATATATATATATATATATAAGTAAAATGAAATGTTATTCGATCTATTTTTTACCTTTATTATCTTTCTCGTTTGTTCATAATATCACGTTCATGTATTTCAAATTGCTTGTAATTGGTGCAGAGGGGGTAATTTATCAGGGCATCACTAATTCAACTTGAAAAGGATTTATGGTGGATGGCACAGCACTATATTATTGGGGACCATATATTTCTGGATTACATACAGGGGACCGTTTTAATGTTTACTAATTAATGTTAATACGATCAAACCAAATAATAATATATATAATCGGATTTTAAAAATGTCCGAAAGTCGAAGCTTTCCCCACAAATCATAAAATTATCATTAGTCGTATCCTCTGTGATTCCATCCATAATATTTTACTCAAATTATATTTCAATGGCAACGTTTTTAAATCCTGCATTATTGACCCTCGAATTATTTATAATTTAGCTCTGATCTGGTTTTTGTTCGTTTCAATTCAATCTTTTATAATTTTCTCTAATTATTAACTAAATTTTTTTATATATATCTATTAAGGTTTTCAAATAAAATTTGATCGTTAGTTTCTCTTATATAATTATCTATCGGCTTGTATTAATAAACCATATTTAAGCATTATTACGTAATTTTTCTATTTATATTAACTGTGAGATATTTTTTTTTTATACAGTGAGATATACTATTTTACTAGAAGGATTGCCAGTGAATTCATTATTTAGATATAATCACTAAAGATTTTCATATTTTTAATTTTGTTTTTGAGTAAGAATTAGGGTTAATAATAAGTTAGGTCAGACATATGTGTAAACTTTTTTTAGGCTTAAGCTTGAACCTATGACAGGCATGGCCTGGCTTGAAGCCTTTTTAAAGGCTCACTTCATATGTAATGTAAGTTTTTTAGGAGACTTTTAACTTTAGGCTTCAAAGTTTCTAAGTAGGCCTTGAGCCCATCAAAGCCTTCATATTTTAGATTTTACTAATATGAGTTAATTTCTTACTCTACTAGTTACGCAGAATCATTAATTGTTAATTTCTTACTTTACTCGTTAATTTATTAATATGAGTTACAAATTATATGAGTTGACATATCAATAATAAGATTTGATATCAATTATTCAATCATAATTAGTGACATCAATTATTAAATTGCTAATTTTACTTATTAATTTACCAATATCAATTGTAAATTACTGATAGGTCTTGTAATTTACTAACTTCATTCATAAATTATTGATAAGTCTTATAATTTATAACTAATATTAGTAAATTAACAACTAATGTTGTTAATTATTTGACAAGCGAATGTAATTTACAATTGATATTAGTAAATCAACAAGTAAAGTAAGAAAATTAATAATGAGTAATTTTATGTAACAAGTGAAGTATATTTTAAGTTTTTTAATGATAAAATTCTTTTGATATTTTTTTTCTCTGAACTGAATTAAAATTTTAATTTTTTTTAAATTTACCTATAATTAAAGAACTACTGTGTTCCTTAATTAAAGTTGCAATATTTTTCAATATTTTTTTCCGCACATGTACGATGTTGCAAAGTTTGTCATCATTTACCCTACATGGCCCATATTAGAATGCGCTCGCCCGCCCAAAACTATTTCCCTGGCTAGGAACTGGTTTGTCTCCTCATTTATTTTTCATATTTATTTGTTTATTGTAGTTATTATTATTATTTTTTTGTCAGGTTGAAATGGTCAAGACGAAAAGGCTCACTAAAAAATGTTTTAAGTCAAAATTGTCGATCTTCGTTTGTTTTTTTTTAATTTTCAAACTCGTACTCTATTTTTCTTCAGCTACCAAGCTTGGGGCTATCTAGATGGTGATGATGTGAATGGGAAGATTTAAAATGCAAAATGCATTATCTCATGTACGTACATAATTTGTAATAAATTTGTTTTTCATTAACAGCATCCAATTGTGTTAGTTAAAAGAGTACTGTCATTTTTCCCCACGTCGTATATTACTTACCAAGCCCTCACTCGAAATGTGTGTGTGTCCCCACACGCACACATATAAATAAATTTTGGAGGCCTTATGGACCATTTATGGGGCCACGTTTTGTCAAAATCATATATGAATGAATATAAATAAAATGGGTTAAATATCAGTATTACAGGACCACCACAGAAAAAGAAAGCAAAGCATGTGAGCTCTTCACAAAAGTTGGGTGCACATAATAAGATGCAGGTATACAATAGCTCTCATCTCATCATCTCTTGCTATTTTTTTATTTTTTACCTTCTTAGATACTTTTTATTGCTTGTATATTCATCATTATTTATTAGATTGCCGTTACTCAACTTCCACTCTCCTAGGAGACTAGAAGTATGCTTGTATGTAATAAAAAATCTTGTCTTTAAAACATTTCATAAGTCACATGTAGCCTTTTACCCTACACACTACATGTATAGAACATTGTGAAAAGGTAAATTTAGAAGAAAGTAATTAATTATCCATATTTTTATGCAAATTAATTTATAAAAAAACCATCAATTCCTTCTAAAAAGTGATTCATATGTAAAGCCGGATGTGACAATTTAGATAAGATCAGTGGAAGCATCTCATCAAGAACAAGAAGTTACTCAGGTCTTCTGTATTCAGTAACATGTGCTGTGGCAGAGAAACAATGTGAAATTGAAGTAATTTAGAAAAACAGTTTATAGTGCTCCAATGAATCACTTTGAAAAGATGAGCAGATCAAAGCGCTTGATCTAGAATCAGTGTGTTCAAGTTCTATACTTGCATGTGGGGATCCAATTTGGTCCAGATTAACATGTGATCTAAAACATGGGCAAAATTAACAGTATTGATTTGCATTTTTAACTTCACACTGGCTTTTTCCTGTCTTCGGCAGATGAGCTTTTCTTTTCTCCATAGAGCCAAGTCTCTGCTATTGGACAAACTTAGTGGTAGTGGTACTACTGTCTGTCACACGTGGTTTTGTCACAAATGTTCACAATCCTGGATGTGCTGTCCAAACACACATTGGATCTTGGAAGCTGAAAACAAGGGCTCTGGCTTTTGCTAAGAAGGAAGTCCTTGAAACTAAGAACCCTCTCATCTGCGCTCCATTTTCCGATGATGGAGGAAAATTAGAAGCTAGAGGAGAACGCAAGAACGTTACAAATTAGGGACGCCAATCTCGGCGCTTCTTTATTCTGCCTTTTCCAAGTCAATAAAAGCGAGTGGTGGTGGCACAGTAATGGGACACTTCAACAATGAAATGGAAAAACAAAAGCTGAAACATTTCCCTCACTTTCTGAGACATCATGCACAACCATATAACCATGCTGATGAGAACACTCCACACACAAGGCTGAGATTTACATGTCCATGCCGTAGCCATAATGCCCCACCCCCATCATTCATATGAACAGCTTCTCAAGTTTTAACCCCCACCACAAGACAAACATGGGCATTAATACAGCTGTAAACAGGTAAAGTCAAAATAAATACTGGTTTACTGGTTTTTTTGTTTTGGAGGTGGAATTTAAGTTTGCATGCTCGTTTATTAATGAACTGGATCACTATGGGTTGGTGGTGCAAAAAAGGTTTGCTTCCTCATGACTTAAAGTAGACTCCTCTTTTTTTTTTTCACCTGCACAAGATTACAGAGGAAAAGAGAGAGAGCAGGAGGCAAATCAAATAATGGCTTGCGCTTTATAGGTGAGAGCCTCAAGGATTTGTCGACAACAGAATAATGCATGTTCATTCGGCACAGTGAAAGATTCACATTCACAAATGAATTTATTGCATATTATTCACGGTCAATGGCTCAGTGGTCCACGCATCTGGAAATTAAATTCAAAAGAAAGGGTTTCGTAGATTAACAAACGGTCCTTGATAATATGAAACTTTAGAATGCGTAGGAAAAGAAAGAAAAGCCCAAAGGAATCAAGAAATCACCTTCTAAAGTTGTTTACGATGCATTGTTCTAGATCATTGCCATTCCATTTCTTTCCCACTTTCATAATTATAACCAATAAACTCTTATCCGTAATCTGGAGGGATCTGCGCCTAGAGTCTACGTCAATCATCGTCCAAATATCATCAAATATTCCACCGCCAGAACATATCTGCGTATAGACATGATAATACTATAACCCCTATAGATCTGTTTCTTATAAATAGCAGGTTTAATAGCTAATGCATGCTAATTTTTTTTCCGAATTTTTTAATAATAGTGGACTCACCGTTACAACATACACAGTGACTTTTCTGCTACAGGATTCTGCTTTACAACACTGAGTAATGACGTAAATGGACGTCCTCTAGTTTCCCCGCTGCACATTGCGGTAATCAGAAAGATTTCACATTAATATAGGTTTAATCTTGCGCATGCTGTTGTCCAATTGAGTAATATGGCGCCAAAGTCAAAGAGCACTTTGGCCTGAGGTCTAGTGAAGATACGTAAGAATACGGGATGATATAACAGAGGGACCAACAAAGATGAACGTTTATTGTTTAATCCTAGTACTCTAAAGAGTCCTGTTTAAACCATTCATATGTAGCAACATAATAACAGTACAGTATAGCGCCAACCTGACACTAACGAGGCAAATGAGGCCAATATTAAAAATTGATCTTTGTTCATACCTAATTCATCAAGAAGCATACAGGAGCGAGTAATGCTGGAGCAACGGAACTCTCATACAGTACTAGCAAGATTAAAGAGCAGGAGGATCAAGTCAAGCAACATAACAATTTTCTTTTTCTTTGTTTTTCGCTTTTCGCAGAAAAGGGAAAAAGAAAGGGCAAATGCTGATGCTGACCTGGCTATTTTATTTCATGGCTGAATAACGGTAATCATGAGCACAAACAACCTTTCCAAATCCCATACCAGTTGCCACCTTTAATCATCACATTGCCTCTGCCATTAATTACCACTCCGTTGAATGATTAGAACCAATCCTCACTCACACACCCTCTTTAATCATGTCACGTCCTCCCCCTATCCCCTTTGAAAATTGAAAATTCTTCAGCTTTGTCTTCTCGCTTTGAACTGATGACCAACACTTGAGTGTCTGCTCTGCTAGTATTTCTTTTCGTTTGCAGACAACAATGGCGTTATTTCTCCTTCCTTCCTGACTCCAGATTTCAGAGATAACGCTCGCCATAACATGACCAAGCCTTTTGCATTGAACCTGGCTTTCGCCTTCGCCTTCAATTTGGCTTTCCTCTGTTTCACAGCATCTCTGTGTTTATCTCAGAATGACACCCAAGTGCTCACTCTTTTCCGCCTCCAGACCGACGCTCATGGCTATCTCCTCCCCAATTGGACTGGAGGCGACGCCTGTTCCGCCACGTGGCGCGGTGTTTACTGCTCCTCCGACGGCCGTGTCGTTGCCCTGTCTCTCCCTTCCCTCAATCTCAGAGGACCTATTGATTCGCTCTCGTTGCTTGTGCACCTCCGCCTCCTTGACCTCCACGATAACCGTTTGAACGGCAGCATTGCACCTTTATCCAACTGCACCCGCCTGAGGCTACTTTACCTCTCCCGCAACGACTTTTCCGGCGAGATACCGCCGGAAATAGCTTCTCTCAAGCATTTACTAAGGCTTGACCTTTCTGATAACAACATCCACGGTCCAATTCCCGACGAACTCTCTTCATTAACTCACCTTCTCACGCTTCGCCTACAGAACAACGTGCTCTCCGGCCAAGTTCCGGATCTATCTGTTTCGCTCGTTAATCTCACAGAGCTCAATTTCACCAACAACGAGCTCTACGGACGCTTACCCGATGGAATGCTGAAGAAATACGGCGACAAAACCTTCTCTGGGAATGAAGGTCTGTGTGGTTCAACTCCATTCGCGGTTTGTTCCTTCACACAGACCCCTCCTTCTTCGGCATCACCGCCGCAGATAGTTCCTTCGAACCCGAGCTCGTTGCCTGAATCTCAAACAAGCGTAATTGTGACACCCAAAACTCAACGGCGAAAGGGGTTAAGCCCCGGGGCTGTAGTAGCCATAGTGGTGGCGAATTGCGTGGCATTGTTGGTGGTTACCTCTTTCATCGTGGCTCACTGTTGCGCAAGAGGACGAAGCTCCAGCTCGGTGGTGGGTAGTGAAAATGGCAAGAGAAAAAGCGGCAGCAGTGGCTCCGGAAGCGAGAAGAAGGGGCACGCCAATAATGGGGGTGCAGATAGCGACGGGACTAGCGGGACAGACCGAAGCAGGCTTGTGTTCTTCGATCGGAGGAATCAATTCGAGCTGGAGGAATTGCTGCGAGCATCGGCGGAGATGCTGGGAAAAGGCAGCTTGGGGACGGTTTATAAGGCGGTGCTTGATGACAGTTCTACTGTGGCGGTGAAGAGGCTTAAGGACGCAAACCCATGTGCCAGGAACGAGTTCGAGCAGTACATGGACATCATTGGAAAGGTCAAGCACCCCAACATTGTCAGATTCAGAGCATATTACTACGCCAAAGAAGAAAAACTTCTCGTCTATGATTATCTCCCCAACGGAAGCTTGCATTCTCTTCTTCATGGTCAGTCTTCGTTTTGAATTCATGTAATTTGGTTCTTGAAGGTATATTTGAAATAGATTAAATATTCTATTTTAAGGTGTTAGAATAAATTAAAGAATGCGTTAAGAAGCGTATCCTACAAGATCAATTTGCAGATTTTGTCCCGTCCTTAATTTCACCGTTTCGTGATCAATGGCAGGAAATCGTGGTCCAGGAAGAATTCCACTAGATTGGACCACAAGAGTGAGCTTGGTTTTAGGAGCAGCAAGAGGGCTAGCACGTATTCATGCAGAATACAACGCAGCAAAAATACCTCACGGGAATGTCAAATCTTCGAATGTGCTTCTGGACAAGAACGGCGTTGCTTGCATCTCAGACTTCGGATTGTCGCTGTTACTGCACCCTGCTCACGCCATTGCAAGATTGGGCGGATACAGAGCTCCAGAACAAGCAGAAGCGAAGAGGCTGTCTCAGCAAGCAGACGTATACAGTTTTGGGGTATTGCTCTTGGAAGTTCTCACAGGGAGAGCTCCTTCGCAGCACCCTTCACCAACTCGACCTCGCATGGACGAAGAGGAACAAGACGTGGATCTCCCCAAATGGGTCCGATCCGTTGTGAAGGAAGAGTGGACAGCAGAAGTGTTCGATGAAGAACTCTTGCGTTACAAGAACATAGAGGAAGAGCTGGTTTCGATGCTCCATGTGGGGTTGGCTTGTGTGGCTTCACAGCCAGAGAAGAGGCCAACCATGGCAGAAGTGGCCAAGATGATTGAGGAGATCAGGGTGGAACAATCCCCCTTAGCAGAGGACTATGATGAATCGCGTAATTCACTTTCACCTTCCCTCGCCACCACTGAAGATGGCCTTCCTTGACTATTTTGCGTTGGTGCATATGTTACTGTAACTACCTAGCCGTTTCAGTATTGCTCCTCACTGTTTAGCCGCCGGTGCATAATCTCGCTGTACATCAGTGATGGACTTCGCTAGCTCTTCCAATTGTGTTAATTTACGTGTTCTTTTACTAAAATTTGCGAGCTGTGTAATTGAAGCGTTGCGTGTAGGAAAAATCTGATGATTCTATGACTACGCTTAGAATAAGTATTATTTACTTACTTGAACTGCAAAATCTAAATTTGACGTTTGCATCATTGATCGATCTGGATGACCCAACTTCGTTGTTTCTTCTGCTGAAACAGCAACGGTGCATGTTACATTCTCAGAAGCAGACTCACTCTCATTCTAAAGAACCAATACCATCAAGTTTTATCCGTCCCTCTTTTTCAAACTCATCCACTCACCCACCACTTGAAGCATATTGGGAGCACTAAATCGACTTTAAATAGCTTTCCAACGTTGGAGCACGCGAACAATCATTTCCGTAAAGTTCATTATGAACAAGTTTCAGTGACACCTTCCAGCACTAAATCCGGTGCCCCATAAAAATTAAAGGTTTTTACATTCCGAATAGATTACAGTCCAACGGCCTTCAACTTATGTCAGCCCTCATTACAATTAGAATATAAAAAATCAAAAGTTACACTTCATTGACTGACCTCTATATTTCACGTCTCTCGACGACTAGACCCTTCATTCTTCAATCCGTCGGTATTACAATGTGCTTATCTTCTACTGAGATCAAAGGAAAAATGGGCTAAACTGAAGTATAGATAAACTCACTTGTAGGTCGAATTTGAGTCAAATTAATGTTCGCATATTCTATCAGTAATCACTACTATTATCATACCATACCACAAATCATCTAGGGTTATGATAAACATACACAAGCATCATCATCATCATTATTATAATTATACAGAAGCACATATTACAACCAGTCAACTAGACTACCTACAATAGGGGTTTCGCCGATGTTTCAGCTGCCTCCAACCCACTCTGCACCAGGTTCACCACATTGAACCTGTCAAATTGTGATATATTTCTTTAATAGGCTCCTCAGTGGCCGCACGTGTTTCACTAAAGAGTCACCAATATTTGCTCCATCTTACCTAGTAATATATGTTAAACTGTCAGCTTATGGATCCGGTTTGGTCAATTAGTGTACCAACTTGTTCTCCACACAAAGCTTTTGAGATGTTCCCAGGCTCCAGGAGATTAAAAACCACAACTGTACAAGAAACCCAGTAAGTAGGAAAAAAAAGGTCACTGTCTTGCTAAAAATGAGGTTTGGATGCTTGAAATTTTTTATTTAATTGCAAAAACGTTAACCAGGCAATGCACCAAACCCAAAAGATAGCCTTAAAACATCAAAGGCGATATACTAACCAGGAAGAGCATTTTCCTCACAGAAAGTCAGTGCCGTCATATCCATGGAGGTGGCACCTCTTGAAACCAGCTCCCTGAAGGATATGTGCTCAAAAGTGAAATTGCCATCCCGGGAGTTGCAGTCATATACACCATCTACATTAGTACCCTTGAGAACAGCCTCAGCATTAACTGCGGGTTAAAAGGAAATTATGCCACAGCTGACAAAAATTACAAAGATGCTTGTGTTGTCTCTCTGCGTAAAGGAGAGCAAAGGAGAGATGATGTGGAAAAATAAAGATGTACACAATTTGAAATGGCATACTCTCAGAAGCTCGAAGAGCTGCAGCTATATCAGTTGAGAAGAGTGGATTTCCGGTCCCAAAACCAATGCCACCAAATATAACAACTCTTCCTTTCTCAAGATGTCTAATGGCCCGCTGCCTATTGTATGTTTCAGCAAACTCGTGCATAGCAATGGTAGTTTGCACACGAGTTTGAACACCCATCTTCTCTAGCGTTGATTGGAGCAATATAGAATTCATCACAGTGGCCATCATGCTGGAAAATTCAAGAAGCCACAAGTTCAGATCAGATTGATGTTATATAGAGAACAATTAAGGGTGAATTATCTTATTAGACAATATCAGAATCATATATATCTATAGTTTCTTCATGGTAATAATAATATAACCATCGGACTCAAGGCCAAGAAGGCACCAGTCCCTAAATGACCCTATTTGCAAGGCAGAAAGAATATACTAACATAAAACCACGATATACCCTTAAAGCATTAGCAAAAAATTATGTGAGAAGAATCATATATAAAAATAAGCATCACAGAAACAATTTTGACCAAAGTGAAAACAAAATGAAATCATAAAGTAAACAGAACTTTCCAGACAGCTTCAACAGTGACAAAAAAGATAATTGTAACAAACATATTAATATATATTTTATTCATTATAAAATTCAAATTGGCCAGATTCAATGCAATTGAAAGGTAAGAAGTTCAACCCCATGGAAGGGAAAGAGTGGGCTTATGCTAATCATCCACACAAACAAAACCAGTTCATGAGATAATACGGATTGAGTTTGACAACACGTTCTTATCATCTTATGTGACATCATGCTGTGTACAGTGCATGCACCGAATAGGACAAATTATCCTCCCAGTGATTCTACTGCAACCCAGCCAACTCAGCTAACTAATTTATTTTTCAAGAACAAAGGTGAATATGAAGCACAAACACTTCTAAAAGGTACATGTCTCTGACATTTACATTAGACATGAGTACATGACACGATGATTAATTTGCACATGTATACTATATATTTTCTCATAATGCAGTGTACTCATTGGTGTCTTGTTTCCTTGTTAGCGGGCATGTTTCCTACAATGAATCCTTGTTCCCTGGCATTCCTATGAACCGCACAAGGTAGGTTCTCTAGAACTGCTGCTAGCAATCTAACATAGCCCTCAACAGCCAAAATTTCAAATTTGTTTTCTTTGGACATTAACAAAAAAAAAAAAAAAAGTCAGCACAGACCAGTACACTGATCTCTATTGCAATCCACTTTTTGTCATTGATTTCTTGATAGATGCCAATAACATGGAACAAACAGTATATCGCAGAGCAAATTTGCAAGGAACATACCCAACTTGGTATGCAGTACATCTTTCTAAACCAGTTGCAGTTACCCATGCATCTCCACAGAAAAAGTTACGACCTCCAACAACAATTGCAACCTGATATATCAGATAAAAAGGCAATTGTCAGCTAGCGAACAGGGACAGCACACAGCAGACATCCTAGAATTCAGAGGATAATCATGAGAATGCAGTACCTCCACACCATTGCGAGAGGCTATGGCAACTTCTTTTGAAATTAACATGGCCACCTAGCAATTGAATCAATACAGACAAACAAACAAATTTAGTCTTGTTGTACCATCCAAAAAGAATGTTTAGACCATATCATTACTTTACTAAGAGGTCATGAGTCAACTAATGATATCAAACTTGGTAATTCGAATTATGAATAGCCATATAATAACAACTTTGAGGACATATAATGAAAAAAGTCACAAACCTTTGGGTCAATACTGCAGGTAGCAGATCCAGTAAGAGCTGCTCCACTAATTTTGAAGACTACCCTTCGCCATCTAACGTTTGACATTGGTTTTGACTTCAGGCTATTCAGTTGACCTCCACTGCTGGATATTGTGACTCCATATCTAAAAATTAAGAAGAAGGGGTGTCAGCAATATTAGCTTATTCATGAATTCCCGACGAACAAGGAAAGAGATCTTTTTTTGTTTTTTAAGAAAAAGAACATATGTGACAAAAAATATGAGGAAGCAATTGACCAATATTCTCCCACTTATGACATGCTGCACTGAAAAGTATCAACGTAGTATGAAAAGCTCTCAACTCTCCAATTCACTGGCATCAAAAATTATTTTTGTAATTATAGTGGTGATCATACAGATTAGCAGATTCAGTCACTACAAAGATAACTGATGTCCTCAAATCATAAAATAAGTACAACAATGGATATAAATACACTGAAATACAAGCAAGCACAATTGCTTTTGGATACACATTTGGCAGCAATACAAACAAGAAGAGAAGCTAGGAAGCACCTTACAGATTTTAAGATCCTAAAGAACTTAGGGTCATGATAATAAGCAGCATGAGGATAAGCAACCTACCCATGCAGAATATAACTTCTACAAGGATAACCAGCTTAGCCATGAAGAATATAACTTCTACAAGGATAAGGAGGTTAGCCATGAAGAATATAACTTCTACCTGCCTTCGATAATTCAAGCATGTGCTTTTCTGAAATTTAAAGACTGGACCTCAGACCTAGACAAACCAGATCAGACATCAATCCACTTCGGAAATATAGTCCCAGCGTCCTAGTTCATGTCACAAACGATATGTCACACATTCCGTAAGTTGCTCTGTTTAACCCCCAATAAAAGTGTTGCATAGCTAAATGTGCGTGAACATTTATTCATGTAAATTGAAGATGAAAAAGTAAGCCAGATAGGATACTTTTGATTGCCATTTCTAAAATATTGCTGAATCAACTCAAAAACGGCGGCAGCCAACCGTTGACACACATACAGTAAACAACTAATCTGCATGGAAAATGTGTAACTCAGAGAAGCGAAGTGCTGACCGGGTTTTGGGACGGCAAAAGACTATAGTTTCTGATAATATGGCTTCCAAAATTCTCAAAAACGGGATTCGGTGAAAACGGGAAACGATGGAAATTCTGCTAGTGTATTCCGACTTAATAATAACAGCAGAACATTTCAGCTGGTTCTGCTCGACACTACATGAAGAACTCTGCATGTAACTAGGTTTCCAGACAAGAGGAAAGAAATAAATTGAGTTATCCCACGCTAGATCTCCATAAGCTTCTTCGTGCTGGCATCTAAAAGCCAAACACTTAAGAGTTTGAGCGATAGAGCGATAGTCATAGTATGATAACATTGGGACAGAGGGCTGAACGGAGAGAAAATGCCAGCATTAAATAATTCCAACGGCAAGGCATCACAAATACATAAGCACTTAGTCACTAGCAAGCAAGAAACAACTGACAATAGTCAGGGTATAGGCTAGTGTGTTAGCCTTGGTTTCGTCTTGTTTATCAAAAAACAACTATACGAGTTTATCTCACCTCTTTGGTAGTCTCGGCGAATTCCCACCAGAACCGATCCCCTTGTCTTCATCCTGCACATACTTTGTAGATAGCGAATTGCCAACGATCTGTTCCATCTGCTTGAACCAAGGCCAGTGACTGGCTGAAATGCAGCCATTGCTCATCCTATGCCTTTCCAACTTGTACCTCTTCTTCAAGTTATCAACTTTATTCTTGCATTGCTCCACGCTCTTTGTTTGATTTTCACACCGCTCACTCACAATTGCCGCCACTTCCTCCCAATCCCTCCCTCTAAGGTTCCCTCGATTCAGCTGAGTGAACTTCTCTGTATAAGCCTCCAGAAGGCAAACGATCGCCGCGTCGCTCCACTCCTCCCTGTCCTTCCTATACTCCCCGCCGTTTGAAAGCTTGGGCCTTTTGTATCCGTACGACGAAGTTCCGTCGCCGGCCTCCTCCCGATCGTTTCGTTTGTCGCTCTCGTCGGCATCGTTATCAAATCCATAAACTTCGCTGGCGTCGCCTACCGGTTCCGATGGCACAGGCGTGACGGCGGAGGAGAAAGAATGAGGTGCGTAGGTCTGGTGAAGATGGTGATGCGGGCCAGAGCTCGACTGGTGGTGATCGTCACTGAGGAGGGAGAAGTCGTCGTCGTCGCAGGAGGCCATAAGAGAGGACGTTACGGTTAAGGTCAAGGATCGTGAACGACGACGTTAGGGAGAGAGAATCGAACGTTCAGAGACGCAGTCACGCAGTGGGGGAGGCGTTCACGGAGCGCTCCTGCCGTGAGTCGATCTGCTACTTGCCCTGACGGTCCCGTTAAGTGACTGGAAGATCAGATCCAGCATTCGCCCCTATGTTGACACGCTCTTGCGCGTGCCATACGTTATTTTCCTAGATGAAGGAATTGCATGGTGTGACATAAACTTGACAAAATTTTCACGTGTAATGTCATCAATACCTTACTTATTTTGAAGCCAAAAGATAACTTCACTGGAAATAAAAAAAAATTATTTGACAATGTATTGTTTATGTCTTAAAAGTTTTGATCAATAAATTTGTTGAAAAGAGCTTATAAAGATACCATAAATATCAATATTAATAAAAATAATTATAAAAAAATTATTCACAGGTCTTATAAAATATGTACGTGTGTTGAGCTGCTCAATAATCAATACTCCTCCAATCCTATATATTAATTACTTTTTAACAATATAATCTAGCCTTCTTTATAAATTACTAGTTAATAGGATAGTTTTATTTTAAATTGAAATCCCTAATTTATCATTGAAAAGTAAGGGAGAAAAATATAAAAAATAATATTATATTATTTATTTATTTTTTTCTCTTTATTTAAAAGCTATATTTAAAATTTCACTTATTTTTATTCATTATATTTTTATTATATTAATTTTAATAAAATTAATAAAAATAATTTATAAATAAAAATATAGAAAATATATACACAGCATTTGGGTAACAAAAAAAGACTAAATATATGCCTAGTAAATGCAAATGCCATGGTTTGGTATAATGGCTAGTAATGGGATGGGCCTGGTAAGGCATTGATAATGATGAACATGTAAAGGAAGGAGAGGGTTAGTTGGGCTTGGAAAATCGGAGTGGGTGGGCTTATGAGGAAATCAGACCCGCAATCCAGGATTGGAGGCAATGGCAGGCAAAACAGGAAACCAGTGACTTTGGAGTCAAATAAGGCGAAGCGCATGCAAAGTAGAAGAAAAGAAATGAGGCATAGGAAGCGGGGAAAGACCGGTGAGCAGGTAATTTTCCCATATTGACGGCCCACAGAGAAAGAGGTTGAACTGTAGTCCTTGGCCTGAGGAAAGGTGAAAAAAGAAGAGTGGGAGGCATGTGAGTGGGCATGCAAGATATAAACATGCGGCTGGCCGAGCCCACAGTTTCCAGCTAAAACCATGCCTTCCTCCCCTTCTCACGTGCCTACCCACCCCACACACCTCCATCCACCCTCCCTCCCCTCCACGCGCCGTTTCTCTTCCCTTCGCTGCACCGCATCCACGCTCTCAATTTCATTCCCATTCATATCATTATTTTTTTAATACTTGATTTTAATTTTAATTTCTTCTATTTTAAATATCATATGATGCAATATAATATTACTCGTTTAGCAATTAAACGACATATATTTTTCCATAAAAATTCTAAAATATCTGAATCTTATCCTGTCGTCCAGATTCCCATGCGGATATCAATTCGTTATTTATTTGAAAAACTGACGTTTCCTGATATTTTTCAATATTAAATTTAAATGTTTGATTTTAATATATATTGAAATTGAGAACCGAAAAATGAAAATGATACCAAATCGACATCCATGTCAAACCCGAACCCCCCAAGTCTCCAACGAAGACTGGTTTCGGCGCAGTATTGAAAAGTAAACCGAGGCTGGGTCAGTAAAAAACTAAAAAGTAAAAAGCGCCTGGGCATATTCCCAGGACCTCAATTCTTTTCCTTAATTCGACAGTGTTCGGACTCTTCACGCACGCCTCTCCTCCTCCAAACTCTTCCTCTCCGCAGACCCTCTTAGCTGCCTCCCCTGCTTGTTCGCTACCAAATATGCATTCCTCTCACCTGCTTCTTGAGGAACCCATCAGGATGGCCTCCATTCTGGAGCCATCCAAAGCTGTAAGTTTTATCCCCCCCCCTCCTTGTTTCTAATCGCCGCTTTCTCAGTTGAAAAATATTTGTCGAATCTCAGTTTAGATGGATCCGTCGTGGTTTTTATGGAGCCGATTTTCTCATTGGCTTTTATTTTATTTTTATTTTTTTGTATTCTTTCTGTGTTTTGATTCCTTTCTTCAATTCTACAGAGTTTCTTTCCTGCAATGACAAAAATTGTCGGCACACTGGGTCCTAAATCTCGATCAGTAGATGCTATTTCTGGCTGTCTCAAAGCTGGAATGTCTGGTTAGACGATTTTTTGTTACTTGATTGTCATTCATAGGTCTCGTTTGGTTCTACTTATGCTCGTGAGAGCAAGTTCTTATAAAGCTGTCTTGCTCTCAATTTGTACGCGACTAACATTCTGTTTTCGGCTTTCAGTCATAGAGTGAAACTTTATTCGCGCTTTCGATTGTTTCTTGCAGTGGCTCGTTTCGACTTTTCTTGGGGTGACGCGGAATACCACCAGGAAACGCTGGAGAATTTGAAGGCTGCCATCAAGAGTACTAAGAAGCTTTGTGCCGTAAGTTTTCTTCGACCTTTTTTCATTTCCTTGGAGATGTTTTAGACAGATAGTATCCTATCTTTCGCTCTTACAACTGGGCTTGCTAGATGAGATAAAGGTGACTGAAAGCATGCCAACCAATGATTCTTTGGCTCGTTGATTCTATTTAACAAGAAGTAAATAAGGCATTGTCTTTAGCTTTTTACTGTTGTGTAGCAAGAACAAGTATATTCTGATTGCGTGATGCATATGGATTTCTTTTTTTCTTTTTTCTTTCTTTCTTTCTTTCTTTTTTTTTTTTTTTTTTGAGTTTCCCTTATTAAATTTTTTTAATGCATAAAATGTTGACTTTTGCTACTCTTTGGCACTATCAGGTTATGCTGGACACGGTGGGTGCAGAGATGCAGGTTGTAAACAAGACCGAGAAAGCTATTTCGCTTCAGGCAGATGGCCTGGTGGTTCTAACCCCAGACCAGGGACAGGAAGCCACTTCAGAGATTTTGCCTATTAATTTTGATGGACTAGCAAAGGTTCATTGATATTCCCGTCCTCCGTGTTTTTATCCTGATATGATGTGACATACTACGTATCTTCTATTGTCAGAGTGAATTTTAACTTGCAACAATTTAAATTTTTATCTCTCTGCACCCCCTTTGCCCCTGGAGTGTATGCTTGAAGTCAGTAGTTACTTTCCTTAATAATGCCTTGTGTTGTTGGGCTGGAAAAATATGTGATGTCTGATTGTGCCCAATCAAAATCCCATCTTTCAAAGATATTTGAGTCATCTTTCAATTTCAATTTTGCTATTCATGTTAGAAGTAGCAAATTCCAGCGTTTAGCTGATTTCAAAACAAGTCCAAATATCTGTATTGGCCCAAAATTTTTTCTGTGTAATTTGAAATAACTTTAGCTGAGTTTCTTATTCCAATTGTAACTCATTGATCGCACAATTATGCTGATTCCTCATTCTTCTAATTCTAGTTTCTATGATAGTCAGTCAATTTTATTCTTTTCTATGCAATGTGTCCATTAATTTGAACCTTGATTTTTTATGTTCACTTTTGTTATTTACAGGCTGTAAAGAAGGGAGACACCTTATTTGTTGGTCAATACTTGTTCACTGGAAGTGAAACAACTTCTGTATGGCTAGAGGTATGTGGTAACAAGTGTTCAGCTCAGAAGGCAAAAAAATATCCCGTATATCTTTTAGTTGTGTACTTGTAATATTACTGTGTCTTTCCTTGAATTATCTGGTTCAGTTTGAGTTGGTTGCTTTGGTAACTGCAACAATCACTGGTTTTAACTTACGTACACTGATTTTGTGTTATGCAAGCATTCATTTGCTGTGCTTCTGTAAGCATGACTTTTAAGTACGAAACAGTTGTGGCCAAAGGCCCTAGCCAAAATCAGTTACTCTTGAAATCGTGTTTGCATGATCAATTTTGACTGAAAATTTTGTAGGTATCAGAAGTCAAAGGGCAAGATGTTGTTTGTGTGATAAAGAACTCGGCAACATTGGCTGGGGCATTGTTTACTCTGCATGCCTCCCAAGTTCATATTGATTTGCCTACTCTATCTGAGAAAGACAAGGAGGTAATTTCTGCTGTTATCTTGCATTCATAATTAGTTACTACCCATGATTCCACATGCTGCATTTGTCTGTATTGCAGGTTCATTAAATTATCCTTGGATTTTTTTTTTAAGGTTATAAGCACGTGGGGAGCTAAAAACAAAATTGATTTTCTATCATTATCATACACTCGGCATGCAGAAGATGTTCGTGAGGTAATGTGCATTTTACATTCAATACTGCTGTTGATTTCAAGCTTGCATTTATAACTTCTAATTTATATTAAATCTGCTTCAGGCTTTTGACTTACAGAATTTTATATTCATTCAATGCAGGCCCGTGAACTGTTTTCTAAGCTAGGTGATCTCAGTCAGACCCAAATTTTTGCAAAGATTGAAAATGTTGAGGTGAGTTTCTTTCCTTAATGATATATTAGACAAACTATTATTTCTCTGTAAATCTTACTGGCAACACCGACTTGGATATTGTCTCTTCATCTGTGTTTTCTAGGGCTTGACCCATTTTGATGAAATCCTAAAAGAGGCTGATGGTATTATTCTTTCCCGCGGAAATTTGGGCATAGATCTTCCTCCTGAGAAGGTTGCTTCCCAAGTGTTTATTCATTTTGATTGACTTTTTGAGCTTTGAAGTTCGTGCATTCTGTATATGTCATGTATTGTTAGGACTGATTGCTTTGGAGAATCTATAGATGTTAATCAATTGCCTACACATTTTTGTAGGTATTTCTATTTCAAAAGTCTGCCCTTTACAAGTGTAACATGGCTGGGAAGCCTGCTGTTCTTACACGTGTTGTGGATAGCATGACCGGCAACTTAAGACCAACTCGAGCAGAAGCCACTGATGTTGCCAATGCCGTTTTAGATGGTAAGCCCCTATCGTGATACTCCTTGTTAAGTTGATGTTACCACTAGTTTGTGTGTTGGCTAGTAACCCTGTAAATCATAATCAGACATGAAAATTTTCTTATCCAATCTTGGTTGAATTCCTCTTTTATGAAATTTTTTGGCTCGTTCACTTTTCCCATTAGGATTCCAGTGTTCTTCTGATATTTGTTTTACATGTTGTCCACTAACCTACTATTGGTGATTGCTGTGACATTAGGAAACATTGGTATTATATTATTCAGATTTTGTTCCTTTTCAATGATCTAGTCTGTGCAGATACATTGTTATATATTTAGGCCAATTTCAAAATAGTTATTTTTGCTTAATTGTTTAATAAATGCAGGAAGTGATGCAATACTTCTGGGTGCTGAGACTTTGCGTGGTCTATACCCTGTTGAGACCATTTCTACTGTTGGAAAGATTTGTGCTGAGGTAAGTTCATTGTATAGTTTGCTTATTATGTTTGTTTATATTTGATACTTTGGATTTTTGATCAAACTTCAGGTTTTTTTATGTTGGATTATGAGCTTGTGGTTGATGGTCCTCCAGTCTAATGCATGCATTTTTTTTTATTCTATGGAGCCCCTCCTTTTGATAAATGGACCAGACTAGACATACTTATGAAATATTATACATTGAAAATGATATGAACTAATTCAACTGCCAATGTCTGAGAATTATTGCAATCTTGCTGATATTTTCTCTGCCTTTTCATTTTCCTCTTGTCTGCATAATGTAGGCTGAGAAAGTTTTCAATCAAGACCTATATTTTAAGAAGACTGTCAAATTTGTTGGAGAACCGATGACCCACTTGGAATCTATTGCATCCTCTGCGGTTTGTTCATTTTCTTAATGCTATTTATTTCATTATTAGTGATAGTAACTTTTAATGCATGATTTATTTCTCAAGAACGAAGGTTAACTCTGTTGGTTTTGCTTGGTTGTCATGGTGTTTGATATTCTTGTATTATTGAAAGGAGGCTTCTTATTTACAACTATTTATCTACTTAGGTACGGGCTGCTATTAAGGTGAAGGCCTCTGTCATCATTTGCTTCACTTCATCCGGAAGGGCTGCAAGGTACTTTATCAATGAATTAATAGATTAGACTATGTTCATGTTGGAAAGTTGATTTTGGCTGGTTGCTTTCAATGTGGCAATCAACACAATGTGTTATATTAATGCAACATTTTTTCCTTTTTGATATCTCCACTTATTTCAGAACATTTTGAGACTTCTAAACTTGTTGCATGTACTTTTCAGATTGATTGCGAAATATAGGCCAACAATGCCAGTTCTCTCTGTTGTGATCCCCCGACTCAAGACCAATCAGCTTAAGTGGAGCTTTAGTGGAGCTTTTGAGGTTAGTTCCTGACTTTTGAATCTGCTGTAACTACTTTTCTTTTTGCTGTCAATAGGTGGGACTGACTTCCCTCCCTCCTTTTGACAGATTAAGCTCTCTTAACAGTAGCTAATAAGGTTCCTATAGAAGGATCACCATGAACATATGATGTTAGCAATGATCAGTATACACTTGTTTAAATAGGTTCTAGGAACTTTTTTTTTTTTTGGCCCCTAGCTGAACTCTCATATGCTTTTGAACGGTTAAATAATAGCAACTGGTTCTTTTTTCTTTCGCTTTTTCTTTTTTGTTCAGGACTAACTTCCACCCATTTGCTGGAAAGATCATATACACATAATGTCATTTACATAACTAGTTGAAATTTAGCGTAAAAGCAAATATGTGGTATATGGTTGGCAGAACTTAGAGGCTGAAGATAGGATTTTGAGCCCCATGAATTAGTACTTTACTCTTGAAGTAGAGATCAACTACAGGATAACCTTGGAACGATTATGACAACATATAATGAGATGGCTCTTAAACAATGACAAACTCCTAACCATTTATGATTTCTGTTTATATTGTAAGACCGGTCGTTTCATAATACTACTATTAAGATGATATGATTTATTAGTGTGGTTTCTAGCACTTGCTTATTCCAATGAACTATTATATTATTGATGCATTGTATCTATTTGTTTTGGGTCGTCGATTTATCCAAAATTAAGAATTACATTTGTGACACAGGCAAGGCAATCCCTTATAGTAAGGGGTCTCTTTCCCATGCTTGCTGATCCTCGACATCCTGTAAGTCACTGTTTTCATGGGATTTCTATTTTCAGTACTTTCATCAGATTATCCCTGCCTGGTTTTTTTTTTTTTTTTTGAGAAGGAATTAGTTGCTGAATTTAGGTCAAGGTACAGAAGAGCTGGACTGAGGACTGTGTCCTTGCTAATTGTTCTTTGAAAAAGTATGAATGAACAAGAGAGACTCGGGATAAGTTTGAATGGATAAACCATTTTACTGATGATCACTTTCACTGTCAAATCTTATAATGCCATTTATGACTCATGATGCTGCCATTAATCATAGTGTTCCCAGAATTTGATCTTAATGCTCCATGCCTGCAGGCGGAGTCAACAAGTGCAACAAACGAATCTATTCTTAAAATTGCTCTTGATCATGGAAAAGCAGCAGGAGTTATAAAGTCACATGATCGAGTGGTTGTTTGCCAGAAAGTTGGTGATGCATCTGTGGTTAAGATTATCGAGCTTGAAGATTAAAATTGCATTTTTCCAGAACAGTTTTAGGTTTTCCTTTATTGCTCAATTCCCATAATTTTGAAAGCAGGCAGATCATTCTGCTGGCACTAGAGGTTATTTTCCTCTGGGTTTGGTAGCTAGATATACATTTTGTGCATGGGAAAGGAATGTGAATGCAGTTGTTACTGGCTGTCAAACTTAAATTATCAGAGGAACATGCTTGCCAATTTTTTCCCATTAAATTATGATATAGTCGCTCAATGAACGAATAGTCTATCTGATACCATTGTCAAGCTAGGATGCAATATTATTCACAGCTCCAGTACGTTCCAATTCAATTCATGTTTGACAATGGAAGTTCTGAAACTTACATGGTTGATCCAAGTCTAGTGTTGAGTTCTTTATCGCTACTAGGTATGATAACTATTGTATGAAATCTGAATTACTGAGTTGTGTATGACTTGTGTAGATGGTATAATTTGTACGAGTTTTTTTTTATAATGTAAGATATTTTTAACATGTTTTGCAAATATTAAGGAAATTCATTTTTTCAAAGTCTCATGAAAAATTGATTTGTTTTTTTCAGTTTTACACTCATTCACAGTTAATCTATAATTTCTTGTGCATAATTATTCAACATACACTAACCAATACTAGAGTAAAAAAGAAAAAAATATTTCTTAAAAAGAGAAGTGCAATTATTTGTTCCTTCAAGCTTTGCCGCTGGATAAAATTTTAAAAATTTAAAACAATGAAAAAAATTTTAGAAATTAATTTTAAAATACATTATATATATATATATATATATAAAGACAAATGGTTATATTTTTTTTTTCTTAAATTTACAAAAGGTTATTTTGAATCAATAATAACTCAAAATATTCTACATGATGGGATTTGTAAACAATTATGTGTGGGTGTGTGTGTGTGTGTTATGCCGAGGTGGGCGCTAGTTGAACAATTTTTGAGTTAAGCTGTATATAGTGAAGTGGTTGATAATGATTGGTTAAAAGATTAAAGATTCAAAATACTTCTCAACTAAAAAAAAGTTAGAATCATCCTTAAAGTTAAGAAAAGATCATTTATATTTTTTAACTGCTTAAATTTTTAATTTCATCACCTTGTAGTCTATTCCATTAAATTTCACCATTAATATAATTTACATTTAATTTTTTTAATAATTTTTAGTAGGTCTCACCATTTTTTTATAAGATTAAGAGTTTAAAATGCCCCTCAATTAAGAGAAAAGAGTTAGGATTGCCCATAAAGTCAAGAAATGATCATTAATATATTTTAACTACTAAAATTTTTAATTTCATCATCTTGCTATCTTTTCCATCAAATTTCACCTTTAGTGGGACTCATATTTAATTTTTTTAAATATTTTTAATGGATTTCACAATTTTTTTAAAATTGTAAATAAGTTTTTTCAAGGTTTGGACTACACCTCTGGGTGAGTCTCTATTCAAACTTGTAAAAAATTAAATTTTATGCTAGATCTCTTTGATGGTTTCAAACTCAATTTTTCTATCATAATTCATAACATTGCCTTCAAATATGTCATTGTTAAATGGTGCTGAAACTGTACCAACCATAGTAGCAACATGCTTCGAATGTTTTTTTTAGCCTGGTCATTCACAAGATAACAAAACTATAATTGGCTTGTTAGGTGCTTTGCCTATTACTCCACTTGCTTCGTCAAAGAGAGAGGGATATGTTTTAAAATAATAAAAAAATATTAAAAAATGCTAGAACTTAATAAAAATAATAAAAATTTCAAATGTCAATCGTGCTATATGTGAAAATTGACATAATAGAAAGAAGGGTGATAGAATGGAAAATTTTAACAATTGATAGATATAAACAATCATTTTTTAACTTTATGAGTAATTCTCACCCTTATTATTTAGTTGAAGGATATTTTAAACATTTAATTTTAAAAAAATAATAAAAAATTAAGTGAGTTCTATTATTATATTTTATTATTAAAAATATTTTAAAAATTTATATGAGTTTACTAACGAATAATTAACTCTAGGGCTATGGGTGATGCAAAATTTTAAAGTTAAAAAATAAAATTATTTCTAAATTAAAATTAACGTCATCTGTGAACTTTTGATTGCAGTTGAGAAACAAAAATCACCAGTTAAATTTTAAAGTTAAATGTTAGTTACGTTGAAAGCTGTCAGTGCATGCTTAGCGAAGTGTCGAGTTTTAGTAAAACTGTGGTACTTTGTTAAAACAAAACCTTGACGTGGTGAGAAACGAGGAGGAGCGCGTGATTTGATTTAGTCAGTTGTGTCCCACGGGGAATGTGGATAATGGGGCGACAAAGACAAGCAGCCTTTGTTGTTGCATTGAATTCGGACAGTGCTATTGTCAGTTGGCCTTCTCACAGTCAAATTGCTGTCCCGAGCCGTACAGGAACAGGTGATCATCAATTCATTCCAACTCCACGTCGCTCCATCAGATCTTTTTTATATTTAATTATTCCATTTATTTTAATTAATCACAATCACATCATTTTTTTTTTTTCCTCTTGGATCATGATTTCTGCAATAACATATTGTGTGTTTAGGGGGAACGTATCAGCTCCTGTAATACCAGATTTTGAGTGTTTAGATATTCTATAATTTTTTTTTTATTCCTCTGAATTTATATATTATATTTATGATTTTACACTAATGTAATGTAGGTGATACGGATTCCAATATGGTAATTTAAATATAACATGCTTTCGGACAACGAAAGCGCTCGTGGCCTAATGGATAAGGCGCCTGACTTCTAATCAGGCGATTGTGGGTTCGAGTCCCACCGGGCGTGTTTTTCTTTTATCAATCTTTATTTTTATTAGAAACATTACCATATAATCTGGTCAAAAAAAGATGCATAACCATATAAAATAATATTAATGGTTTGAAATTTATATTTATTAGAAACATAACCATATAAAACAATATTAATGATTTAATAATTCAAAATCAAATTAAGTTCCAGCTTAAGTAAGCATCACCCAAAAAACGCTTGTTCTCCTCTCCCATAAAACGAAGTCCTAAAATTTCGATAGACATAGTGATAAGATATATTTCATTTGGTTCCCTCCATTCTCTATCAAGTAGCTGGTAGCTCCCTTCTACTCATTATCAGTTCTGCGTATGGCATTAATTACTGCAGCAACTTCTAGTGAACTAATTGATGGCTTCTTTGGATGATTACCTTTCATTTTCCTTTGCTTTCACTTTATCTCTGGAAATATAACATTACTTCTTAATCCTTCTCCTTACAGTTACAAGTTCACAAATAACCTGAAGATGACAATGTGTTTCTTACAATATACATGTACACGTATTCGAAGTTTCAAACATATTGCCATTTCATTTAAAAAAAAGAGGATGGGAGAACCGTGATACATTATATGTGATAGAACCACTTTCACGACATATTTATATTCTGTCTGTAATCCTCCACATATCTACCACTTTAGCTAGAAGAATGTTGCTGCTGCTGTGGTAGGTGATGGTGAAGATTGACTCAATAGCTCAAGCTCCTTCTGGCGTAATAGTAAAACCATCCTCTCATTCTCCAGCTGCCTCCTTTGGTTCTCCAGCTTGGCTCTCTCCATTTCCCTCTCTTTCTTGCTGCTAAACCTCGCCCATTTCAGCCTCTGCTTCTCCAGCTCAAAAGCTTCTACCTCGTACCTCAGTTGCTGTTCCTCCAATTGCATCACTTTCCTTTTCATCCATTGCCTTTTCTCCCACGCGCTTCTCCCTCCATCTTGCAACACGCCCATCACTTCATTGCTCGTTTCCCGCATTAACGTAGACGAAGCCCAAGAATCTTCTTTTCTTGATCTCTTCGTCGGTGGTCTTCCTTCATAAGTCTCATCCTCGTCTTCATGTGCATTCCCAGTTTTATTGCCCCTTGAAACGCCTTCTCCTGACTCTTCGTCTTCATCAGAGGAATCCTCTGAATCGTCATCGTCGTCGTCATCTTCATCCTCTTCCCTGCTCACCTCTTTCGAAATCTTGAGTCCTTCTGATTCTGGCTTTCCCAAACTCGCCATCCCAACTTCCGATGAGTGGGAGCACCGCTGGTGTTGTTGCGGTTGTGCCGCTTGAGATGGTTCTGCTCCCATCTCTGGGGATTGTTGTTGCGGCCCACCAGTGCCGCCATGGCCACAACTATTGTGGTAAGCACACATTTCCCTGAAGAAAAGATGCTTAGAATTGAGCAATTTTCGAACTTCTTCTTTCCTTTTCGTTGACAAGTCCATGGTCTCCAACAAGTTGTGATTTTCCACAACCAGGCAAGCCGTTCCTTTACCCAGAATATCGTTCACCCTCTTGTACCTCTTATTTAAATCATTGAACTTGTCCTCACATTGTTGAGGAGACACGAAGAACCCCTTATCCATCATAGCCCTCGACACCGATTTCCATTTCCCCTTCTTCTGCAACAGACCCGCAGGCTTCTTCTTATCAGCCCCTTCCAAACCACCTTCGTCGCCAATGTAATAAACCGAGATTATCAAGAGCCTGACCATAGTGTCCGTCCACTTCATTCTGTGCCACTGCGATACTTTCCTCTTATCACCGGAGCTGACGTTGTCCTCTGCCGCGAACACGGCTTCATCATCGTCACTGAGAGGCATTTGTTGATTCATCTTAGCCGAATAGGGGTGCCCATGCTTGATCGATTGTTGGGACGGTGCTTGAGGAATATCAGTTTCATGGTGGGAAGAAGCATAAGAAACCATTTGAGAATGATGCATAGGACGAGGATTTTGAGGATTAGACAAGTTTTGCGGCTGCTGCTGCTGTAAGGGGTCCTCTGCTACAAGCAACCCAGAACTGATGCTAGAGAACATTCCAGCACCTAGTCCATTGGTTTCCATCAACACATGAACCAACTAATTCACAAATATCCAAACAACACTTGCGAATGGCCTAGATAATCAAATCTGGTAACATTCGACGAGAACGTACCCGTTGATCGAATTGCTGAACAATAGGTGCAAGACTAAATAAGTAAGCAACGGAACACTGACATCAACCGTTACTTGAGCCAAGGCCCAGAAAGATTGCTGCTTTTACTACTACAGAATACAGATTCTTGAAGGATTGGAGAAAAACGAGATGAATCCGAGGAAGGCGAGAGGGAGGATATAGGATAGTAATAGTACATAGTATCATGGAAAGAGAGAAATAAGCGGTATTGTTTATGGGGGGTGGGAGCGACGGAAAAAACTGCCCATGGTTTTGGTTTCTTACAGCTTTTGAAGAACGACCCACAGTTTCTGTTATTGTTTTCTTTTTTTGTCTACGTGGTTATCTGTGGTCAATACAAGTAAGCCCAAACCAAATGCTTCTTAATTCCTGTGTGCTCCCTCGGTGCTCACTTTCACTTTGTTTTTTTCTGCTTGAGTAAAATACAGTGATCACTTTTCTATTTCGTTTCAATTAAAGAGATTTTTTTTTTATTTTTAAAACCTACACTTAAAAATTTTAAAATATTACATTTTTATCTATAATTATGTTAAAAATTTTAAATTTATAATTTTACCTTTATAATTTAATTTTCTGCTATTTCTTCCAATTTTAAAAATTTTAAAAAACTTTGTCATTATTTAAATAAGAAATTTAAAATTAATAAAATTTAAAAACATAAATATAAATTATTTAGAGTAATTTATTATATTAAATCATTATTTATATATTTAAATTTTAAAAAATACTAAATACGTTTGTCTAGGTTAAAAGTTTAAAATATAAATAAAAAAATATACATACATACATATATGTGCGCGCGCATTAATTTTTTTTTGATAATTTGAATGATTGTAAACAATATTTATATTTAAATAAGAGGCATTTTGATCTAATATATATAATTTAATGGCCAACAAATATTTGGATAGATAAAAATGACATTTTGAAAATGGAGGAATATTTATGTTTTATAACTATTTATATTTTGAAAAGTTCACAAGTGTTTCAAAAATATAACAGAACCATCTATAATTAAGATAAAATAAAAGAAAAGTTAGGGTATTTTATTCTTTTCATTATTTAAAGATTTTCTTAATTCTTTTTCTCGTGATTATTCCTCATTGCAAAATATAAAATTTATTTATTTTATAAATTTATTGTCACAATTATATTCTTTTGTGCCAGGATTGTAATTATAATTTTATATTAGGTATAACGTAATTTGTAATTTTTTTAAAAAATATTTAATGCACATAATTTTGATTTAGTTATAACCTAATTTTTAGACATTGATTCATTTTAACTCGTTCCTTATAGTTTGGGCTTTATTATGACCAAATTTATGAACTATTACTTGACACAATTTATTTTCTATAGTTTTAATTGTTCCAAATATTTGTCTCTATGTTTTAAAAAATAAAATTATAGAGATTAAAATTATTTTAAAATTTAGTGACTAATATTTTAAAAAAATGATAATAATTTTTTTTAAATTATGTAAATGACATTTTGATTTATTAAAATACCATAATTTTTTTAAGTCCTTAAAAAATTTTTATTATTAAAAAATTAATATAAATAACTAAATTACCCTTAATTCAAACTTACAAGTTGTTGTTGAATTCTTGTAATTTAAAAAAAAAATGTGAATCTTAAAATAAAACTTGTAAATGATAATTGTTATTTGCAACACTTGAGTAATATCATAATTTTAAATACAAGCTTACGAATTGCTATAAATGGCAATTTTAAAGACTTTAGAAAAATTATAACATTTTGAAAAATTAAAATGTCATTTATATAATTTAAAATAATTTTATTATCATGTCTCCTATTTTAAATTATTAAGACTTTTAATATCTATAGAGATTACCATTTTAAAATAATTTTACTCTGTATAATTTTATAATGTGACCAATATTTTAAATTTTTAAAATTATAGGGCATGATTTGCGCTGAGTCAAAATTCAAACATGTTTTGTGATTTACGTTTCAAATTTCAGGTCATGTGAATGTGGAGATTCTGGTAATTAATGAGATACGATTCTTTTCTTTTCTTTTTTTCCCCTTCGATTAATAAAATATGATTCAGGTAAGTGGCAAGTGCATGCTTTTTGTGATGTGGTTTTCTTTTTTGGCCTAGCTTTTGTGATATGGTTGAGAATTTTTTTTTGGTACTAGATCGTTCGATATTTTGAAGTATTCTGAATTTATTACTCGCCTTAGACAAAACTCGAATCTCGATGTTGCAGACCTTAAGATGGTTATGGGTATTCATGGAATGACATCTTTAAAGTCATTTTAATTATCACATCTTTTATTTTTCAAAATTTGAACCCTCACCTTAAAGAATATCAATAATAACCCTTATCAATTTTATCAATGTGATATAGTTGAGGTTGATGAAACTGACTAAGATAGGCTGGATTCAATTAGTCTCACTGTTACTAGTGTTTGAAAAGTCCAGTTGGCCCGCCGAATTCGATCCAGCCTAATAATCTGGGCCAGGCCGAGTCAAGTCTGAGGGCATGAACGGATTTGGATGGGACTGTTTTTTTTTTAATTAAAAAACGATGTAAAATATAAGACATGATGCACGTGATGTGTTAATTAATAACATTCCATCCAATTTATGAGCACCTATTAACAACTTTGTGTGTGTTAAATAATTTATTAAAATTATTTAAATCTTTTAGAATTTTAAAATAACCTTAGGTGAAGCTTGTAACATTTTAAATTTCTATCTCTAAATTAGTTATAAACAATTTGAGATATATGAAGGAACTTTGAGGCACAAGAGATTATCAAACATTTATTGAAGATTTAAAGTTAAAAAAATAAAATAATTTAAGAAAGAAAATTAATTGATTATGAAATCTATGAATGATATTATTTCATAGTAATTAAAATTTATAATAATTATTTGAGAAAAGAAGATTTAGCTAAAATAAAATAAATTATGAGCGTTTAATTTTAAAGATCAAATAATGAAAATAAAAATGATATGTGTGCATGAGTGTAAGAGAAAGAGAATAGGCGGGTGTAACAATATATATTAATTAATTAAAATATAATGTAATGTATATCAATGGAACAAACTGGATGGCGAGAAAAACGGCCCACACCTATTATCCTATATATATATATATATATATATATATATATCACCTACCTTAGATATACAAAAACACACATTCAAAAATTATTCCTCTCCCAACAGCGACAGTGAGAGTGTGAGAGACAGCAGATGTGAGCGCGAGCGCGAGGGAGGGCAAAGTTCAACAATCAAATAATTCAAGAATTATTTGAGACTTTTTATGATCATACTTTTAATTATTATGTTATTACTTATAAGCTCAAGAAAAATAAGTAACTCAAATTTTTTTTCATATGTGTGCACACGCTATATGAACGAACGCATAAAACTGTAAATTTATTTATTGAAAATTTTGATGTTATTTGAATCTTGTTAAGCATGCATGTATATTAGCTATGTATAATTGTTAGTGTTCTTTTTTTTTATTCTTTTCAAAAATGCTCGTGAATGCAGATCAATAATTTTTAATTGATGGAAATTATATGTTTTTTTAAGTGTAGTTGATTTCTTTCAAGCATGCTTGTAATTTGAGTTAATTGAACAAAATATATTGTATGTGATCTACATGCTGTACATGTGTGGTATAGATGCATTGGGGATGGGTTGATAAGAAGACGATGTGCATGTATATATGATTCAATAACCATGTGGTTTACCTCCACTGCACACATAGTGGTTGGCCTTTTCTTTTCAGAGCCCCGTTTCTCAATACTTACCTGGCCAGGTTTGTAAAGAGGGAACGTGGGATAGTGACACCTCCTGGTTGGGTTATTTAAGGAAGGGAGTCATAGTTTGGGCTTAAGCTCTGTTCCTTTGGCCAGGTATATCTCAAACATCGGAGAAGTTTGGTTAGTCCAGCATGTAGGTTAGACCATATTTAAGCCTATGATTCCAGTTAGCAGAATAAGGATGGATAGAGTAACAAGGGGGATTAGTTGTATTGCATATTGACTTGTTATAAGCTATGTCATATGAAATTCTTATGTTATAACTGAATGATTATCGTGAACTCACTTATATATTGGTTGTATAATTACGTGGTTGTGGGTTGTGCATGTATGGTTAAACTTTAGATTACTGAAACGTTAGTGCTCACTCCTCTCATCAACATTTTAGGTAGGCTTAACGGCACAAAGGGGAAGCATCTGGGAGCTTCAGGCTTAGATTGAGTAAGCTTTAAGTCTCATTTTAGTTTGTTGAATAATCATTTGCCAGTATATGTCTCATTTGTCATTTGAGTTGAGTTTTGAAATTGTTATTATTTATTGATGACTGAAAAGGGTATTGTTAGTTGAGGCCTAACGTAGAAGTTTCTTAATGGATCTATTTGGGGTAAATATTTTAAATATAAAATTTTAAGTATTGAGACATTTATTGAAATAGATATTTGAGTATTTATGGTAAGATGTGATGTACGTGTCTTTAAACTTTAAGAAGCCTAGACTTTTGTTGAGTGAAATATTCATTTATTTTAGATTCTTTTCTATCTACCAGGGTAGATTTTTTTCTACTATGATAGGGTGTTATTTATGATTTTAAATTTTATAACTTTCGTAGCCTTTTTAACTAGTTTAATTATTTTTACCAAGGCTAGGTTCTAAATATCTATTTTAGTAGATGAAATTTTTGTAACCATGATAGTTTCTTAAAATATAGATTAGCTCTTTTCTACCGTAATCATCTTTACAAAATAAATTTGATAATTGACTTTAAATCTTTATACCATAGTAATTATTTTTTATTAGTTTAAATCTTTTTATTACCATAGTATTGGTTAAGTTTTTAGTTAGTAAAGTTGAGGTGTTATAAAGCTCACCAATTAGATATCACTTACTTGAATATTAAAATACCGACTAGTAAAAGTTGATTCAATTGAGAAGGATTTGGCTTATATTTTATAAGGCAGTTGAATCAGATTTCATTATCAATGTGAACACTTTATTGATTGGCAATATAAGCAATAAGCAATTGATGTTGATATTATTAAAGTTGAAGGTGATGTTGAGGAGCAGAAAATGAAGTGAGGTATAAAGAAGAGTGACAGTGAAGCCTATATTGTTACTGTCAAATCACAACTTCATTATCACTTGATGTGGGTTATGAGAT